ATTTCTCAGATCACCTTTTTACTCAAATGATGTAGATATTATTATTTATAACAATTACAATATGATATATAATTATATAGGAATTACAATAGTATTATAATATTATCGATATATAACATCTATCTCACTAAAAGTAGCTGAATGCGTCTGTGAGTAAACAATGTCATGTTTAGTGAGATCAGCTCTGTGCTGGAGGTGACGCAGGCATGTCGTAATCACCCAGGTCTGCATCAGAGCCCAAACTGAATACTGAACAGCTCTTACAGCACATGCACAGAGATTTAGGGGGCAGTCATGGTTCATTCTTGAGATGCGTTCAAACTATTTGTAATGGTTTGTCTACGTACTCGTGCGTCATACTGGCGTCTTTGGACGTTGAACATCAAGTCTCTGGCTGTTTGTTTTTTTAGCCACTCAGAAAGGTGAAGTGTGTAACCATGTCTCAAGACTTTCAGTTTCATTTCATTGTGCTAAGTGGTTCTCAATCAGGGGGCTGGTGCCCAATGAAGGGCCTCAGCAAACTTCCAAGGATGCCGCAAAATGGCTTAAAATGATTACAAATAAGACAAGAAAGAAAGCTTAACACACACACACAAATTCTAAATAAAACTATAATCATTCTTATTTTCATAAATTTTTCTTCAACAGCTGTCATTTTTATTAGAGAAATGGCTCCATACTGTCATGAAAAACCTGGAATTTTAATACTGACTAGAATAACCCAAAATAAATATTAATGAAAATGTAATGGAAACTTCTATAATATATATGAATTGGCCTGTTGTAAGTAAAAACAAGCGGTGCTTTTGAATATTGTCTTGGACCCAATTCATAAAGGAGCAAACCAAAGCGAAAAAACAACTGTCAATCATGGTCAGTGGTTCCATGTGATTGAATGAAGTTATTTGGACATGTCTAATTTCAGTGGAGTTTACTCAGTTTGCTTTAGTTCATCCTATATGAAATATTTCATAAAGATAATGTTCCCATCATGTAGAACCTCTGTCCATGCAACTTCAGCCAAAGCGTTATAATAACATACTAACAAGTTACATACATAT